ATATTGTTTGAATCAAAGAAGAAAGGAGGAGGAGGAGGAGGGAAGAGTGAGAAGCAGGCACTCATTAATCAACCTATTAATAGTAACAGGGTTAAAAATAACCTGACGGAATCTTCCGGAAGATCAAAGAAGACTTTGAATAATGTATCGTAACTGCAGCCACTCCTCCCAAGTATTAATATAACTACATAATTAATAGTTAAGTAATTTTAATAATAACTATAATCATTTTTCACTGTCATCATAATTATTCATATTTGATTTTTTAATTAATTTTCTGCTTAATAATAATAATAATAAGTTAATAATCATTATGAACTCGATTATTGCAATAATAATTATTATTTTTTAATTTTACATAATTATTATCACTCGTCTCATAATTTGATAAGAGATGAACCATCATTTAATACATTATGCTAATGGCATAATTTAGAAAATATAAGAATTTTTAAAGCCAGTTTTGATCAATTACAGTGGACTATGATGAGGAGAAAGAGCATCTTTACAGTATTTTTGCCAATTTTTCAAATGCAAACTGTATGTATCATTATTAATCAGTTCAGTAATTTCAAATTGTGTATGCACTTTCTGTCTTATTTCATAAAAAAAGCTTTTTACATAAAAAATGTACATGCATTTTGTTTGTTTATTCATTAGCTTTGTAATAAATACCTTCCTAGTGATCATTAATCTATCTTCTCTTTCTCTTCCCATTTCTCTTTTCCTTTATCCCATACGTACCCATTCTCTCCTCCTATTCTCCTTTCCCTTTTTTCCTCCATCTCTCCTCCTCTTTCTCTACAGTCCTTACAATAGCACTTACTAATAAACATCCAGTTATTACACTACCAACTGATCATATTAAGATATTCTCCAGTACATGGCCTGATTCATCACCAGGTGTTACTTATCATTATCATTGGAGGAGATTGTTTGGTCCTAAGAAGGGAAACCTCAATGGAGTCAATGATAAAACCATCTCATTGAGTCACGTATGTTATAGGGAGGGAGGGAGGAAGGAGAGAGGGAAAGAGAATCAGAGATAGAAAATCCTATATGTTTAGTATTTAGGTGGGCATGAAATTCACACTGAAAGTGCAGAGCTATCTGTAAAAAAGGAAGCTTGTAAACTTATCAGCATGCTTTGTACATTACTGCCATTAAATAATTTCTAAACTTACATGTAGCAGTGCAAAACTGAGTTGCAATATGCTTATTACCACTAGAATCAAAATCAGACTTAATTGGCTTCTTTTGTATTATACAGTGCATTAAGAAAACTAGTAAATATGAATGCATAGTCTATTTATTTCGTAAGTAAAGTATATTAAAGATGTGTATAAAGTTTGGCCTTTCATATTCATTCTGCTTCCAGCAGTTCATCATAAGTAGTTTAAATGGTTCAGGACAATCTCGAGGTATAGGCATATGATAACCTTTTGATACTGCCTCCTTTACTTCTTCATCAGTCATGCCAGGATATGGTTCCTTTCCTTTTGAAACCAGTTCCCATAGTAATATACCAAATGACCAAACATCAGATTTAATACTCAGTCGGTTTAAAGTATATCCTTCAGGTGCTGTCCATTTTTTAGCAAGCTTATCTTTCTTCTTAGCAATCCAGTATTTATTGCCATTGAGGTGTCGAGCTAGGTGAAAGTTTGCTATCTTGACAGTGTTATGATCTCCTAATAGTATGTTTTCAGCTCTTAGATCACAATGAATGTAATCTTGTTCTCCTAGATACATCATACCATCAGTAACTTGAATAGTAATAGCTACCAACTCTGCTGGTGTAGGATTATTTGTAGTTAGGTAATCTTTGAGGCTTCCATTGATTGGTTCTGTTACAATATAAAAAGGATAACTTTCAGTACAAGCACCATATAGACTGATGATGTTCTTATGATTTAGTTTTTTCAATATGTTGGCCTCTTCAAGAAATGTTTCTTGTACAATATTTGTTGCTATATTTGTTTTAATGATAACTGGCCCTTTATCTTTACAATCACCCTTCCACGTCTCTCCAAACTGTCCAGCATTTATGCATTGAAAAAATTTGATTGACGACTTACTAATTTTCAACTCTATACTCATTGCAATGGGTATGTTTACTTGTTTGAATATAGGAACTGTTAGTGAGCAGGGCAGACCATCAGCTTCCATCATGTAGTGATGTACCAGGTCATTGAGTGAGTCAAACTGGACGTGAGTGGTCATATAATACTTACTATTCTGAGTGTATATACGATAGTATTTAATATTAGATCCATCACTGAGTGAGAGAATATAATTTTGTCCAGGTTTGCTTTCACTATCTCTAATTAAAAAAGTACCTGCTTGATGATCTGCTTGTCTCAGTTTTTTCTCTGCATCATCATGACTCACCACATGATAGTACACATGTTTGTAGTACCTAATGAATAAATGAGTACATTACTCATTTATTGACTACATAAATA